TCTAGTACTGTGCAGTCCGAGCAAAGTAAACTCTGAGCGTCCTGTTACTTGGATGATCCTCGCAGTCTTATCACTGATTTTGCAGGAACGCGCTCTTCTCTCAATTATATGTGCTAACGGTATCGCAAACAATATCCAAGAGCAAATTGTTAACAAAACGTGTAGAAGTTTTCCGCAAGCCGGAAATTCCGTTCGCTTTATGACTTCTCTTGTGAGCTCTTCGCGGTTCTATTTACTACAGTCGTAATACCAATCCAGTCACTATCAGAATCTATTCCAGTGTACAGTCGAATGGAACAAATTAAAAAACAACGTATCCGTGTAAATAATAATAATAAATAAAATAATAAAAGAATGATTGGCATGTGATGCTGTAATGACAATTTAATACATCTTGTTCGTCCGACACATAATTGAATATATAGATAAGTTATGTATCGTACATGCTACTCTGATCGCGGCTTCTGCGTTATCATTCTAACTCAGGGAATTCGGGCCATCAGGCTGAATTTTCACTTACTTTTTACTAATTTTCACTTACATATTACGTAGCAGTTTTCCAGATTGTCAGCTGTCGGATTATTCATGCCATGTATATGAACTGTCGGCCATATCGAAGGTGAGTGGGTAAAACCTTTTGACCGAAAGAAATTCAAGTACTTGCTTTCATCAACAGAACTCAACAACAGAAAATTAGTTTCTAAATTCTTTCAGAGTGAAATCCAATCGAACTACGGTACTATACTTATATTTCATCATTATTTTTATAAAAAAAAAAAAACCTTACATCAACTAGAGCGTACATGCTACAAACCTGATAGGATCTTCAGGAAGCAAAGTTATACTAGGGTGATTCACATTTGTAGCATTTTTTTTTTACCTTATTATCCTCGATCTATAATCTACATAGTACCCTTTATCAAGAATGTTAAGCAACCAACTTATTTAATAATTCTCGGTACAAACGTCAGTGTAATTCGTTGTTTTATTTGAGGGTCATGGATATATTTTCATGAAATCTCCCTTTCTGTTATTTCTTTTTTATGAATATGCTCTGTAGCGAGTCATACTTTCTTGGCCACTATTGAACCCGAACTTCATTATTGGAAACCGAAAAACCCAGGACTAGAAAGGCTTATCAGGGTTAAAGCCGTTTCGCCTTGCTGATATCATTGTCGATACCCCTAGCTTATTCCTGCCTAAACTCTAATTGGTGAAGCATTTACTTTTTAAATAGCAATGGTGAGCAAAAAATATAGGACTGACGGAATCACGCATAAAAGATCTAAATTCTTGACAAATTCTCTAGGAATATTGTCAGATACCTTGCCTTTTAGTGCTTTAGGCGATCTTCCGCCAGAGTAGAGCTCCTGAGGTAAAAGCTGGCAAGACCTATGGTAGTTTACGTGTGCTTATATTATGACTAATTTTCATTATATCAAGTGGCTTATTTCGGGGATAGTTGAAGATTAATCGTGGAAGAAACTAAACAACAGAAAATACGCTACGTTTGATCTTAATGAGCTACTTTTGGTTGGATGAGCAGTTAAATACGCAGTTAAATAATATACACGGACGAGTATTACAATATCAATGGGCATATTCTGGTTTAAATAAAGCACTGCTATTAGCTAACAAATTAGAATAGCAGATATCTTTATAAGCGTTATGTTATGAACCCAAAAGACGGGCTTTTTCAAGCGGCCAGTTTTAAGAGACCAATTATTGTTGGGGCGTACTGATAAAAATTACAGCTGAAAGTATTTTGGGTACGGTGCAGGAACGATCAGTGGGCTAAAGTTCGAATGATCGTAAGCTCGATAGTAAAGTAAATGTCGACCCTGACGGCTGCAGGAGACTTTGGAGAAGGATTGAAAAAGCCATAGGCTAAAACAGGTTTTTCCAGCCGAAGATCACTCCCTGATAAAGCCTACGAATCAGAATAAAAATGAAAGTAAAATCACTAATTGGCATACAGAAGGCCGCTATAAATATCAACGGACTATTCTCCTTTTCTTTTAAAGATGTTTATTTATTAACCGATTATTTATGATCTCCATAATGACTTCCGCATAATTGTATTAAACCTATCTATATAAGTTTAAGGGACACTGGCAAAAAGTCTCGTTTAAAGTGAATCTAAGCTGAATGTTTTCAAGTTAAGCGATTTGAAAGAAAAAACTCACTAAATCAACCGTTCAGTCGTACTTTTACGTCGTACGTAATTTTTTTTTTCTGCTGAACTTCGTATGCATATTAATTGGTGTCTGCCCTTTAGCGCAAAATTCGGCCTGCTTTAAAGTTGCTATCAGTGAATGCACCATTTTGTAATACATCTTTAATTACGCCAAAGCTGAAACTCTCACAAGCAAGAGCTGCCCTAGAGAGCTCAATAGCTTTGTCCAGTATTCAGGTAAATATTGCGTTTGATCCATATATGACGGGTCTCTAGTAGGGATCTTTTACTCTAAGAAAGGTATTATCGACTGCTTACAAGACTACAAAGCCGGTCAACGCTTCGGATATTAGCAGATATTAAATGAAGAAAAGACGCATACCTCAAATCGAATGAGGTAGAAAAAATAAATCATCTCCTTTATGATATACTACGGTCAAGCGACCGAAAAACCGCTATGGAAGCCACGTTTGAACTGGTTGCAAAGGATGGTTTTGTGCTAAATTAAAAAGTAAGTAAGTAGGTTTAAGGAGATTTAATAAAATTCGCTACTAAAAACAGAGTATCGAATTCGATCTCCTATCAGTTGAAGTTTTATAATGACGGAACTGGGGTGTGTGTCCCGTCGAAAAGCAACGAAAATGCTTGCTCTACGCATGTACGGTTGAAGCAAGGTTTTTTTTTAGCTCCACGATCACAAAACTTCCCATAGTAGCGAAATCTGGAAAACGTGGCTTTAATTTAGATTGGGCGAATGCAGGTATTGCCTAGGAAAAGGATACCGTGAGGTGTTTCCATGTTGTTTCCGCAGAATTATTGCTTTCGAGGCCCATGTAACGTCGCGCTTTCTCTGACGAAGTAGAGAAGGTCGACAAGCAACATTTGACAGGTGCTGATAGTATTTGAATATGGTCATATATCCAATCCGCCTATGAAGACCCCTTGAGCGCAGTGTAGTTAAATTGAAAACCGAATTCGGAATGCAGGATATAAACGCTTCGTTTGTGGGTGAAGAGTGGTATTAGCTAGGGCGTGTATGCCAACAGGGTCGCGGCCGACAATTAGGTTAATATGTCGCTAACTTCATGTTGTTGGTAAATAGACAACAAGGAACGACGTGAAGACAATACGTAAACTATTACCAAATATGGCTGCTTATTTATTCCAACTTGTTGTATAATTGTATGAATACATGCATTGCCAAATGGGTATATTTGAGATAGATTCGCTGGCCTGAACTCCTTGCTCTGTGCTACCGGTCGATGTTATTGTTGGGTCAACGTTAAAATGCTAAGGCGCTGAACTTTTCAACTTGAGCCTTGATATCTTAAGGAGTTGTTACAGCATCCACACAACAAAAACGTTTTCATGTTAGCCAACGTGTTCTAGGTATACGCAGTTGAGCGTAGATATGTTTTTGACCACGGCGAAGACAGCTGCCAACTTGGTTGGCTTTTTAGATATTTGATGTGTCAAGGCCACTGTAACTATGCGTGTGATAATTGAAGATTTCAGACTCGAATTGAATCGTACTTTTCATTTAGAGACGGTCAAAGTTAAACGCCCAAACAGACATTTTGTTCCAGACCAGTGTGTTACCCCTGCATTATCAACTCGCTTGCAAACCGCTAGGATGTATGTAAAATGCAATAGAACTAGTTTCATCCGCCAACTATTTTCAGTAGGATGTTTTGTGTTTCTTTGCCGATGCTCATCTTCACAACGTGCACGGGACAAATACCTTATTTGCTGTCAGATATTTTTTTCTCTTGCTTACTTTGGGAAGTAGAAGTAGAACGAACGTATAGCACTAGAATACTCCACCAGCAACAGCAGCAGCAGCGGTAATTGTAGCAATCGCGTTTGGACATGAACATCCAAATGGGGAATATCGCGCGTAAGCGACGACTCCCTTCTGTCAGCGGCATCTCCTTTTCGTTTTTTTCTCCTGCTCAATACCATAACCAATGAGATCGCCTCGTGCGCCGAATTCACGCATACGCCACCACCGACGAGACGCGGTCGCCACGCCGGCCCCTGCAGTAGCCGGCGTGATAAACGCGTTCCCAAGGCAGGAGCAAAGAAGGATTAAAGGCGGTTTGAGGCGGATATGGCGCATCAGCGACACCGAACGTCCCAGCGACGAAGCAACCGACCAACTGCCGTTTGTCTGCGGGGTAACTTTGTCGTCTTTTCTGTGTCCCACGCCACCCCCAGCATTTCTCCGAATTTCATTTGACATTCGCTGTCGATCGTCTGTGACGGGGCAGGCTAGTGGAAGCGGTGCTGGTAATTTCGACTGAGGGGTAAACGGGATAGCGGCGATAAGAGACGCTGTCAGTGATGACCGTGCTTGATCTGTATGTAGAAGCTGGCGTAAAAAGCGCTTTGCGCCATTTACTGTGACTCGAAGCGACGGAGCAACCGGGTGAACAAGCGGAGCAGCTCCAGCGACTGACTGTTTAAGTCCACGCCTCTACTAGTGTCCAACCCAATCTCCGACCGAGGCCCCCCCAAGCTTTCGAGTTTCTCGTAGTCCGCATGTGTCTCATAGGGTTGTGGGGGAGCCGCTGTCTGTGCCGCATGAAAGTTTCTCTCTGTCTATCAGTGTCTCACCGCAGTGATGCTGCCCCCAGAGCAGCTGAGGCTGCCGCCATCACTGGCCGTAGTAACAGTGGTATAAGTATACCCTTTCTCTTGTCCGCTCATAGTGATGGAAACGTTGCCCTCTCCAACGTTGCGGGAGACTCTCTCCACCGCAGGCGCGCGGGAAGTGTTTAGTGCGACTTCAATAAGGGGCCGCATCTTCTGCGGACGGCGGGCCTCGAGACGTCCTTTTGGCGCTGTCTCGCCGGTTCGGCTTGGCTGATGGTGTCAGTTTATTTAAATCATTTGGACTAGTAGTTTCGATCCGCTCCGTAGGGCTCAGTGTGATAGCTTGTCGCCGATTTTGATTTGAAGTCAAATGTCAGCTCGAATGAGCGTCGTGTGCTCTGTGTAAGCTAATTATAATAGGTGCAGTTAGACGCGGCGTGTTCACGTGGTCGTCCATCATTTAACAGCAGTGCGATTGGCCAATATAAAAAGATCGGGTCTTATAATGGCAACATTGATAACCAATACAGATATGACAAGAACGGTGGCAACTGCATCCGAATCAGCCGCACTATTCGCAAAAGACAACATCCGCGGATTCTGTAGATGTGAAAATCCTTAGGTGTAATTAAGGATTCTTCGGGATGTATTTCTAAGCTCAAAAAGTTTTCTAAGAAAAAGTTATATCTTGAGCACCGCGGCGTCACGTTTTTGCTTGATTTAAAGTTTAAGTTAAATTTGCGAGTGTTAGTTTATGCAAGAGAGGGGCATCCGAGGTTTTTAGGGTCGAATTCGAAAAACCTAGCACGAAGAGTCTTCTGTAACGTTTTCGACCACCGCTCATCTAAGTGTACAACCCAGGCCGTGTGTTAACATTTGCCGTATGGCTATAGTGTGTGCATGTTTCATGAGTGCTATAATACCTACAGAGGAGGTTTTGTATTTTGTGTGAAGCGCTCGTCTTTCGAATTGCGACTGTGCGCGAAGTCAAGATGAAGTGCTTCGGAGAAAAGGCGAAGACCTTCCACTGCAAGGTACTCCTTCTCGACAACACCGAACTCATTCAGGAGCTCAAGGTAAGAGCGTTTCCGATGCACGTACAAGGCAGAAATCGACTGCCGTCCTGATCCTCGAAATCATTTAGACGTATTTTCTTTCAATATCAATGATCGTACAGTGTGAAAATAGTCTTTAAAGCTAATAATAGCCAATATCCTTTGACTGAAGAAAGTAGTGCTTGCTCAATTTTCGTTTTCAATTATAGCCCGCGACGATACGATTATTTACTGATCGAGTCAAAAGGACAAACGGCTTTCTTTAGTTAAATGCTCTTCAAAAGTCCAAGTTTCTAGAAAATGCTCATTATTTGTTCAGGTCATGCGCTTTGAGAGCGGATCCGCCATTTCCTCCCTATTACTGCCGCGCCCCCATCACTTGAGTGTTGCTAGATACATTGACTATCCATTTTATCTAGCCGATACGTTTCTATCAACAGCGGCTACGGTGTGGCCTATTGTGTGCAACAATGTCTAAGCAGATAACGTCAATGCTGTGTCATCGAACGGCGGCGGCAGCAGAGAGAATAACAGCTGACCCCTGTTTGACGGGACAAGCGCTTGCGACGAAATAGTGTGTCTGGCAAATGTTCATCTGCAAATAAAACAGAGGCAGTGAGAATATCATCGTTTATCTCCAAAAGACACTGCTGAAACGGCCATAGTTGTGTCGTCGTAGCTAGCGGGCCCTTCGATTGAGCAAGCGTAGAGCTTATAAGCGTTCAGCTCATTGTAGAAGTCACAGTAGCGGCAGCAGCCTTTGCTAGTAAGTTGGACAACGACAATTGTAGTGTCCCACTGGATCCGCAGCGGGGCGGCTAACCATCCGCTTACCCTCCGCCTAGCAGCAGGAGGACATCATCGGCCGTTCGACGGTGAACATGTCGCAGTCGAGATGAAGACGCACATCACTGTGCCATGAAAAGTTAATAGGGAACAGAAAAACGAAGCAAAAAGGGACGGCACGACTCTTTTAGCCACCGCCACAACTCAACAATTGCACTAGCAACAGTTGTAGTAGTCTGTCTGAAGCATCGATTGGTTTCGTCTTTGTCACCGCAGTTCGGTGCCCTCTCAGTCAGCCCGTGCATCAAGCGCAGTAACTTTTCTAATGGCTTCTCTGTTCAAGCAAATAGGGAGGGGAATGAGAGGGAGATACTGGCTGCCGACCTATAGAACCCTGTTTAGTTGAGCCGTCTGGCGGAAGCGGTCATCCGGAACCCCACCTGTATATGTATATACACCGACACCCCTTGTGAGAACGCCTGTGCGCGTCTAATGCAGCTAACAAGCGCATATAGAATACGTCGTTGTCATATAAGCTTATTTAGAATGGCACAACATAGCCTCGATCGATGGCGCTGCGATAATTACATGCACTTCTGTCACAATTACCGTTGTTGATAGAACAGCCTCTGGCAAGAAAAACAACACCCGGACCTGTGACGCTCGAACGTCGATGACAATGGCGAAAGCGCCAGCGACAGCACCAGAAGCTGCGCGATTTGACGTCCATGGGGATACGCTCACGCAGCTGAAGAATGACTGGTGCTTGTGGCTCTAGTAGAATCTGCAAACCAGCACTAGTTACAAATCAGGATGGCAGCGATGCGACAATGCGCGGTTTAGCTGAAGTTTGTCATATCTTCGGCACCAATACTACCACAGTGACACTGGGAGGATCATAGAACGTTAAAGAAAGCAGGGAGTTACGTACGAGCTACAGCCCAGCAGAGTTGCTTCAACGTTTCACGACGCTTCAAGCAACCGAAATCACTTGGTCGGTTCCCACGCTGCGCGACCTTGCTCGTCATCGCCAAACTGCTTGATGCATTTGAAGCTATGGTCTTTATCAAAACGCCCGTCATGTGGATGACTGAATGCGACAACGCGGATGACCACCCCAGCGGCCTGGGTCAGTTCTGATATGACAGCTAACGATGACGTCTGGCTGATTTACTAAAAAAAAACCAAAAAGAAAGGAGGCAAGAAAGAGCTCTTGATTTTATTCGCTCAAAGGCCTCATATATATATATATATATATATATATATATATATGCGCGCCGCGAAACCGTCTTCGTATTGAAATATGGAGGCGAGCGAACGTTGCCTGAATCAAACGGCTTACTAACCACAGATGCCACATACACTAGGTTTATATATTCATAAACCGTATATCCGATGTATATAAATGTATATCTGATGCATTAGCTCCGCTATAAGATTGAGATGGGCAAATCGTATTGTATTAGACGCTCTAAAAGTAAACTGAGGCTCAAATCGGTTCGACAACAACGGTTTTTATTTTTGCGTTGGTTAAGGATCTGAATCTCTGTCTATGTGACCCAGCGAATGCACGACCAAACAGAACAGCACGTGCACACAAAAAATATCGCTAAAAAAGGTTCAGTCGGGGGGGGGGGGGGGGATCTTCTTCGAACCTACTAATCCGCTAGACGCAGAACAAAAAAAAAATCTAGTTTTCTCACAATCGCCGTTACATCTGGCATCAGCACACTGTAGGTATGATCGTTTCCATGGACTACTATCGCTTGCTGACCGCCCGATCGCACGGACTAGGTCGATAGTTTCATAGCTTCAACTAATCTCGACAAGTAATTCTGATATTTGTGGCCAGATTCGATGTCCCACAAGCGTACGCTCACAGACACAGCGCGCAGAAAACTGCCGTCTTCTTGATCATTGCCTGCTTCCAGGTGTCAAAAGTGCCGTCATATTGATATATGCTGTTACCATCGTCATCGACTATCCGCTCTTCAAAAGCCTTCTACTTACGCTCGCAAAACAAGATTATTGGCAGAGCTACGCGATGCTCAGAGCCGAGGTACTTTGACATCGAATACTTAGCTAAAAGTAGGTTGTTTAGCTTCGGGTTGCTGCTTACATCTACTTGTTCGAGCATTGGCCGTGCTACAGTACGCATATATTAAGCATTACGTTGTGGCAAATGTAGGTAGTACGTCACGAGAAACATGGCGCGGGCAGGGAGGCAGGCAGGCAGGCAAGGCCGAAAAGGCTGAAGTAAAATTCCTCTGTCTTCTATTCTGCCTTATTCGATCCTTCGTCGTTGGTAGTTGCTCATCGGAGGGCTGATGGGGTGACTCAGTGCAGCCGGGGGCCAATGCAGTAGACTTCGACGACAATGACGCTGTTATACGGTGATGTTTCATAGCATATGTGTGTATGTATTTTTGGCTTCCTTGGACACATTCGAGTGTCAAGGGGCCCTGGAGGCGATCGATTAGCCGAAGAAGACTCGGAAGATGAGAAATTGTTGCCGAGCATAAAACACCGCACCGAGGCCGGCGGCTCTACCTTTCAACTTGGGCAGAAGCTTTCGTTAACTTAAGACCAAGAATCCGACCGCTAAACGAGGCTAACAAAGCCTGTCATATACAGCAGAAACATGTTTGTTTTATCGACCGTAAACATGTGAGTGCGTATGTATGTCTATGCATGTGTGCATGGCGACGCCTGCCTTCGACCTTGCTGCTGTTGTGTATGGTGAAATGGATATCAAAAATAACGCTTGGATAGAATCTGCCTTAAAACATATAGAGAAATTATTACTGCTTACAAGAAACCTAACCAGTATTCATTTCTGTCAATACATTAGACCAATAGAATCAGCAGCCGCAGCGATCAATGCGCACGTGCTGTCTTCAAGCAATAAGAATTTCTTGTATTGGCACTTTTCTAAGAATTTGAGGAAAAATCGTTGCTATCGTCGCTACCGTTTTCAAGCCAGAACCAAAGGAGCGATTTTAGATGTCATGGGACATGCCCGAAAGTCCGAACGGGCACGCGGACTCTCGACGGACGCCTGAGACCAGAAAGCCATTGAAGTTTACCAAGGGCCGATTTTACTCACGAATTTACGAGCGCGTATGGATGACAATTTAATGACTCTTCAATGAATGGCGAACGCTCTTTACAGAAACAGTAACCGCAGTAAACAGTAAGTAATGCTAACTCCCCTGTTTTGTGAAATAAAATGGCGCATTTTACAAACTGTTCTGCCGCCGAATGGACTTCGAATGCGGTTCACAATGGAACCGCAGTACAGAACAGAGCTTTTCCTTCTAGCATTCTTCAGTCGGTCTTTTTCCAAATTTGGGTAAAAAGAAGACTATACCGAAACGATCACGAACTGCTTCAGTATATACAAGACACATCTAGGCATCATGTTATCACATAGCGGTCTATGTGCTATTTAACCTGAAATTACTACAGTTGCAATGAAGCTATTGCTAATGAAGCGGTATGAGACGACTCAAATTCGTGGCAAATAGATAACAAGATCATGCGTATGGGTAAACAGCGCAGAGATACGTCACATCTCGGTACCAGGGCTTCCTATCAGACTGCAATATCGAACAATCCAATTTAAAATTCGATCGTACCGCTCCGATCGTACGCGTATTATTACCGTGTTGCATCATGTAGCCAATACCATAGGCCAATTTTACTGATTGTAGTCAAATCAAGAAGACCCGAAATCGACCTTTCGAGCAGTGATCCCCTATATCCCCAATTTTTTTTTCCTAAAAAAATGGGTCATTCGTCTCGTGTGAAAAAAATTTGGACTGTTTGAGCGAGAATATACTTTTGGCTAAATCTATGCGGTACGCACTCTGTATAATTACTTATATCAAATAACATCTTCCTTCGAATTTATTTTCTAATCCTTAGAAAGCTAAGTAATTAAACTCTTCGCAAATACCTGAAAAAGTATATATGTGTACACTAATTTAAGTATTAATATACACCTATATGTAGATCGGAAGAAGGATTATTTTCTACGTGACACTTTATGATTTTTTTTTTATCCCTTGCCTAATGAATGCCCCGACTGCCTCATCAGCTATGGATGTATTTACTTCTGTTCTTACTTGTCTTATTCTCCAGCTGGATTCTACGATGGGCGACAGCAACGGCAGCGGTAAATGCATCCAGATGAAGATAATTCGATTTCACACGGTGAAAATAGCATAAAGTTA